TTGGCCGCACATCCAGCTCGCCCACCGGCGTGACATGCGCCGCCGTGCCCGTCAGGAATATCTCGTCCGCGAAGGTAAGCTCGCTGCGCGAATCTGCCGTCCAACGATGTTCAGCCCCAGTTCGTCCGTGGCGATGCGAATAGCCGAGTCCCGCGTAATGCCCGTCAGGTTGTTGTCCGCAACCAGCGGCGTATGGAGAACCCCGTTGGACACGAGGAACAGGTTCTCGCCGCTTCCCCTCGACACATCGCCGATCCTGCGTCAGCATAATCGCCTCGTCGAATCCGACAGCGTAGCCTCTGTCTTGGCGAGGATGCTGTTCACATAGTGCCCCGAAATCTTCACGCGCGGCGGAATGATCGTGTCATCCACGCGCCGCCAAGACGACGTGCAGCAGCGTCGTATCGCACCCTCCACATCGATGTACGCGCCGAAAGGCACCACGATCAGCGTGAAGTCACTGCTGCGGTCTTGCAGCTCAGGTTCGCCACCCGCTCCTCGCTCTTGTACGCCAGCGGCGGATGTACAGGTCCTCCCTGTATCCGCAGCGTTCTGCAGCAGGTCCAGCGTAATCGCGCACAGGTCGTCACACCCGCCATAGGGGATGTCCAGCATCATAATGCGGCAGCCCTGCATGAGTCGCTCATAGTGCTCCCGCATTCGGAACACATACAGCTTTTCGTGATCCGCGTTCCAGTTGCCCCGTATGCCCTCGAAAACAGCCGTGCCAATAGCTGTAAGGCGTGGGTAACGTAAACCTCACAATTAAAGCCCCGAGACAGAGGAACGACCTTTTCGCCGGAAAAGGCAAGGGCTTCAGGCATTTTGGAACTCTCCTAAACAGTAATTCATAACCGCACAATATTATAGCCCAAAGAAACAAGCCCAAAAACATGCTCCCACGGGTTGACTCATGAGTGCCAACACCCTCGAGGCATAACTGAACGCCTGGAGCGAACACACGCAGTCTTCAATCGCCGAACACCACAATGGTCGGGCGGATCTCCGTTTATCCCTGACCATTGCTTGTCCCAGCTCATACTCCTTTGCGCTGGCCGTCACCCAACGTCTAGAAGGAAGGGTTCTGTAAGGACAATCCCATCTTGTAATATGGACCGCAGGCAGCAATGGTATAGGACGCGCCCCGTGTCCACCAGCGCCTCAACTCTCTCGAAGCGGGTGCCTCTAGGTCTCCTATCTCACTGTAGCCCTGAAACGCCCAAGAATTCCTCTCAAAACTACCCCCAAACCACCGGATAGCGTGTACTCCTCCTTCAGTCAGCAGCCGCTTCAGCACCGTTCCCCTCGGATTGCGTCGGCCACTCTTCGCAGAACACCACCGACTCCGGCTTCTGAACTCGCCAGTCGCTGCGGCAGTATTTCCGAGATGCTCTCGCTCGCTTGCAGCCCATCACCGCCGTCCCTACAGCACGACAATCGCGCGCACACGCTCACCCCAGTCCAGGTCCGCAGCTGACCCGATAATCGTCGCCGCTTCCTCAATCGCCTCGTGCGATTGCAGCACCTGCCTCCACCTCTTCGCTGCGCGACACCATCTCGCCTGCCGCGCTGATGAAGTCCGCGCGCGACCCGCAAGGTAGATATACCCGTTCGCTCATCCTGATACAGTCGCCCGTGAACAGCACCCTTTCGCGTATCGTCTCCGTCGTCTCGCTCTTCCTGTTCCAGTAGCCCTTTACATCAGCGCGCGCCGCGCGCCGCAACTCTCGTCCCGTCTCTCGGGCGAGCGCGCAAGCTCGCCGTCCTCCGTTGAATATCCGTACCCGTCGACATCGTCCAGCGGCTTGCCTATCGAGCCAGCCCCAGATGCTTCAGCTAGCGCTCGATCTCCTCTTCGTCACGCACATGGTCTTCAGATTCTTCAGGCGGCAGACATTGTAAGCGTCGCAGCCGTCTCCTCCGTCTGCCCGAATGCGTTGATGAAGTAAGCGCCGGCACTCGGTGAAGCCTGCGTATCACAGGCAGAGGCCTCGCGCAGCGCCGTATGGAATGACCTGCAGGCTGGTCAGGTTGTGCTGAGGAATTCGGATGGTCCATCAGCATCTTCAGCATACGTCGGAACCATCATCGCGCGCGAGCTGTCTTGCTCTGGCTCAACAAGCGCCATCCGCCCACTGCTCGCCGCGAAGTGCCAGCCGCTGTATCAACAGCGTCCCTTCCCTCCGAGTCCCGCTAACCGCCGAAATCGTCCGCATCACGACTGCACACCCGCGATGTGATAAAGTGCACGGTCAGTATGTTCGTGTCCTCTTCGTCCGGTCCGCAGGTGTAACTGTGCTCAGGATGTATGACGAAAACTGTCATGCGTCGCATCGACACGCCCTGTCGGAAACTCGTCGTCCCGATGGCACAGATCATCGTCAGGAGGTCGTCGCCATCGCCCTCATGGGAATCGCTCGAAGTCATCTGTGTTCTCAGGATTAGTCGCTAGTCGTATGAATGCCAGCCCTCGGCCTCAGCCTCCAGCGCATGAATTCTGAAGCACCTCAACGCTCTTAGCGCACTGTTCAACGAAAGGCTCAGATACGCGCCCGCCGCGAAATCGCCTTCGTCGGCCACTGCATCCTTCAGCATGTGCGTCAACTCATCCACACGAGTGCGGAAGTTGATAGGCCCGACACCGCATCCAGCTTCGCCGTAGCGATATACGCCGCGATGTACTGGTTGCAGTTCACCCTGAGCATAGCCCACGCGGTCGCACGCAGCCCACGAATCATATCTGCCAGCGCATTCGCCACACGGTGTCACATTCACCCGCGCTGTAGCTCCTCGTAGCTGCTGCGGCTGTCCTCGAAATCATCAGCCAGCCTGTCAGCACGATAAGCCGTCGACATCATCAGAATATTCCGTAGTGTTCATTGTTCCCCTAGACTTCTCATGACCCTCTCCGTCACATCCCTGCCTTCGCAGAATACGCGACATATTCGATCGAGGCGCAGTGAATACTGCGAATTGCCACCAAGAAATGTTATACACATAGCGCAACACCCGCAGCTCAGTCAATAACCCTTGTGCAAGCTTATCGTATCGCCATCTACGCGAATACGCCTTCACCCTGGATGAGGAAGGCTAGGATGGGGTGAAGGAATAAGGCTCACTCCAGAATCCCGACAAGCCACCTCTTGTCATTCCCGACACAGAGCGGTCTTCACGCTGTCATTCCGAACGCAGCGACGCGAGTGAAGAATCTGAAATCCCCGCACCGCGGCGCATAGAAGTACATCGGTTTCTCCGTCGCCTCTGACCGCCATGTCGGAAGTCCGCAAGGCCAGATGATTCACTACACATGCCAACGACCCCTGACATGCGAATACCTACCTTATACAGACTTTGGAAGCAATGGCTTTTGCCACTTCAGAGAACATAACCATACTGAGACCACAGTGCCATACGACATTGATCGGCGTCACTATGTGAACTGAGTAAAAAACAAAAAACATATAGTAGGCGAATCAGCACAGAGACTCTAGCGCTGGACAGATAGATGGCAGCACACGCCGCAGTGGTCGCCACTGCTCCCCGCATTATGTTGCTGTATCACGTCCCGCAACAGGGATTCGCTACGACGTCCTCGCTCATATGCCATGTGCACGATGTCATCGCGACCCCGTGGCAAGTGTCGGAGTGGCCAATGTCCCGTGCTCAGGCATTGCGTCCTGCATGCTGTACGGGCGCCGATCGGGCCCGGCCCATACGCTTGGCTACCGCCCTCTGGTTGAAGTCACCCGTTACGATAAATGGCCGGTCCTGTACCCCGTTTCACGCAGTTCGGAAGACGCCAGGTATCGTGCGTGGTCCTCCAATGTCTCTTCCGTTCAGATCCTCGTCGAGCCCTCGTCGGGACCCGCGCCAAGGAATGCAGGTTCCGATCACTGTCACCTCACCGACTGGAGTCCGCGTTACTCCGGACACGTACCGGCCGGGAGGCATGGCCCCAAGCCCCAGATCGTCGACGCTCTCCCAGGTCTCCCGGGACCACAGCACGACCTTCCGCATATTCTCCCTAATCTTATATCCGTAGTCGGCCCGCGAGCAGATCACATGCCCGCCTGAGGACAGCAGATCTGTGTGCGTCTCTGTCAAGCAGACGATGTCAGGACTGTACCCGTCGATCCGTCTGCGGATTTCAGGGGTTTGCTGTGACCTGGGGGTAGCCCATTCCACATTCCAGTTGACCAGGCTCATAGTCATGTCGCTGTCTCCTTGATTCATCGGGCAGCAATCCGCTGTTCAGTCCCGTGTGGTACTTCTGATTGCACCTGTATTAGCCTGAACCAGAAGTCTCGTCCCCTTAACAGGAAGACGATACGATGGATAGCGACTCATGCCAAGCCTTCGTCTCATTTTCCACTATGACTCTGATTGCCAATAAAATAGTCGCTATCACAGTCTACACACGGCCACTCAGCATTTCTAGAATGGCCGGTCGAGCTGCCACTATTTTCTTATTGTCTCCAGATCGGCAACTCTCAATAACCATCCATATGCTAAACTCCAAATCATCACTTCACTTCCTAACACCATTTGGCACCACAAAGGACAAACCCATGACCGCCACCAACCCAATCCACGTCCTCGGCGCAGGCACACCCACACCCACGCCAACCCGCTTCGCTCCGCGTTCGCTCCTCGAAATCGGCGACGAGCAGATGATGATCGACTGCGGCCCCGCCGCCACGCACAAGCTCGTCAAGGCAGCCTCTGGCCCACCGACATCGACTACCTCTTCTTCACGCACACCACTTCGACCACGACATCGACTACCCCTGCTTCCTCCTCTGCCGCTGGGACCAGAGCACCGGCAAGAGAACACCCTGCAGGTCTTCGCCCCACCCCACCGAGCGCATCACACGCACGCATCCCTCGACGAGAACGATTAAACTTAGCATGTCAACTCTAAACTAACTCTGGGCCAGTGTCAGATACTCGATTTCCTGAAAGAGGAGACCACGTCTATGTCAAGTCTGAGCGGGACTGGCAAACGATTCATAGAAGGGTCTGTGGATGAGCAGTCAGTCGCTCCGTGGAGGATGCTTCCGGCAGAATACGGCAAGTGGTACAGCGTGTACAGGCGCTTTCGATGGAGCGAGCAGGGTGTTTGGGAGAAGATGCATCTGTACTTCTCCAAAGAGCCGGATATGGAGCATCTGATAATAGACAGCACGACAGTGCGTGCGCATCCCTGTGCTGCGGGTGCCCCGCATAAAAAGGGGGACAGCAGTCGCAGGCTCTGGGAGAAGCCGAGGCGGCTTCAGCACGAGGTGCATGTGAGTGTTGACGCTCTGGGCAATCCATTGAGATTCACGCTCACTGGGGTCAGGCACACGACATCACTCCAGCTGATGAACGATAGACGGCATTGAGAGCGACTATGTGATGCGGACCGCGGATATGACTCACAGCGATTGCGTGAGCGCATCGTTGAATGGAGCACGCCTGTGATACCGCCTCGTTCCAACATGACAGAGCCACTGCAAATATGATGACTCTGTACGGAGAGCGTCACCTGGTTGAGTGTTACATAAATAAGATGAAGCATTATCGACATTTTTCAGCCGGTTCGACAGTTAGCGAAGATTACCTGCTTCCTACACTTTGTCGGCACCCTTATCTGGCTGAAATTCCCTCCCGCACATTGACCCTCATCAAACCATCGCCGACTGGCGACCGCGCACACCCTTCTACTACGGCTGCTCATCCTCGCCATGTCCGCAGTCGGCACCTACGCCGCCACCGGCTCGACGCAACTCGTCCTCGGCGGCGTGCAGAACTTCATCTTCGAGACAAATGGGATGGGACCAGTCACCATCGCCTACGCCGTAACCGCCGGCACATGGGCATCCGGCCTCATCACTCAGCCCTTCGTCGGCACGCTCGCAGACCGCTACGGACCCCCGCGGACTCATGCCCATCGCAGCCTTCATCGCAGGACTGTGCTTTTCTCGCAATCGCGGGCATGAGGCCGTCTGGCACTCTCTCACTGCCGCCGCCACATCGTCGCCCGCACCATCGCAAGCCCCATGCTCGTCGGAGTCGTACCCCGCACCGCAGCCGTGAACTTCTTCAACCGCCGCCGCAACCTCGCGCTCGGCATATCCGCTATGGCGCGTCCCTTCGGCGGCGCAATCAACATTCAGATATTCTCGCTCATTGCATTGCAAGCCAGTTGGCGCACCGCGTTTCAAGTACAGGGCATAATATCCTGCTGATAGTCATACCCCTGTTTCTCGTCATTTGCGCCGCAGCCCCGCCGACATAGCTTGCAGGCCGACGGCGCAGCCGCATCGCGCAAACGCAGCGCCCCCACATCCGACCCCTCGCCATCGGACAGCGACAACGACCGGCCTGCTCAATCTCCGGCATCCGAAAATTCCGACTGGACCGCCGGCCAGGCAGCCCGCACATCCGCATTCTGGCTCATCATCATCGCCGAAGCCCTCGTCATCCTTATGTCCGGCACCATCAACTTCCAGATAGTCCCATACCTCCGCGACGTCGGCATATCACCCCGCAATCGCCGCGGGCGCGCTCAGCCTCAGCTCCCTGCTCGGCTCACTCGGCACCCCTTCTGGGATGGGCTCTCCGACATCTTCTCGCCACGCCGCCTCGCCCTCCATCACCCTCGCCATCTCGCGGATGCGCCGTCTCCCTCTTCGTCATCGTCCCCGAAGGTCGCCTCAGCCTCGTCGTCGTCATACTCTACGGTCTCTCGCAGGCGCTTGAACATCCTCGGCCACATGATGATCGCCCAGTACTTCGGCAGGTCCTCGTTCGGCTCCATCACCGGCCTCATGGGACCCTTCCAGACCGGCGCGCTCGGCCTCGGCCCCACGCTCGGCTCGATCCTCTACCACCGCATCAACCGGCGGCTACCGCACCATATACCTCTTCGGCGTGCTATCCTACATCCTGGCGCTCGCCTGCATACTGGCAACCCGCAACCCAGGCATCCTACCGATAAGTCCCCCTCCCCTCTGGAGAGGGCTAGGGTGAGGGCAAAAGTCCCTTCCTCTTGATGGGGAAGGTTAGATGGGGGTGATAAATTCCACCATCCTGTCTATCCATGTAAGTCCCTTAGGAGAAACTATGACAACCACATCCCACGTAGCAATCATCGGCGGCGGCGCGATGGGCTGCGCCACCGCATACTACCTCGCAAAAGCAGGCGTCAGCTCCACCATCATCGAGAGCGAAGGCATCGCAACTCAGGCATCCGGCTACAACGCCGGCGGACTCAACCCACTGCAAGGCGCCGGCATCCCGGCCCCTCAGCGACCTCGCCGCAGCGTCTTTCAGCATGCACAACGACCTCGCCCAGACCCTCGAAGACGAATCCGGCGTCGAGTACCACCACAAGACCATCGCATTCGTCACCGTAGCCTTCGACGACTCCGACATCCCCGCCATGCAGGAAACCCACGACATCTTCGACGCAGCCGACGGATTCAACGCCCACTGGGCTCGACGCCGCCGACCTCCGCGAGATGGAACCGCGCCTCAACCCTGCAGCGCAGCGCGGCATCTACGCTTATGGCAACGCAATCCTCAGCGGCTACGAATACACCCTAGCCCTCGCACGCGCCGCAGAGCGCATCGGCGCGCAGATTCGTCAGGGCAAGGCAGTTGGATTGCAGACCGATGGCGACCGCGTAACAGGCGTAACCCTCGAAGACGGCGAACTCGCCTGCGACGCCGTAGTAATAGCTTCCGGCCCCTGGAGCGCCCACCACACCGAGGAATGGCTCGGCGTAAGCATCCCCGTAGAGCCATACAAAGGCGAGATTCTGCGCCTCCGCATAAACGAACCAATGCCCCCGCTCGACCTCAGTGGCGGCGGAGCCAACCTCCACATCCGCGCCGACGGACTCCCTCTGGGTAGGCGCAACCGAAGAGCGCAAGGGCTTCGACCGCCAGCCCAGCGACTCCGCACGCAAAACCCTCATGAAAGGCGCACCACCCTCATGCCCTTCCTCGCAGACGCCGAGATAGCCAAGCACACCGCCTGCCTCCGCCCCCTCACACCCGACTGGCTCCCCATCGTAGGCGCAGCCCCCGCTGGCAAAACGCCTACCTCGCCACCGGCGCAGGCAAAAAAGGTATCCTACTATCCCCCGCCATCGGCAAAGCCGTTGCAGACATAATTACAAACGGAGACACAAACATACCGCTGGAAGGCTTCGCACCGGAGCGCTTCTCCTAGTATCTGTAATGTTCGAGTCTGGCGTTCCTCGGTAGGACATAGGCTTCCTCACCACCGTCCGCCGACGCGTAAGCCCTGCTGCCGTCAGCAAACGTCAGCACAACCGCATCGCTCTCGTACACGTCCGGAATGCTCTTGACCTCGATCGGATCAACGGCGTTGTCGTAAAGGTCGTCCTCCGCCCCAGTCTCAGTACTCTTTCTGACCGCGCACGTCAACTTCGCGGCAAAAGACTCCCGCCCGCTGTCAATCAGCACTGCCCCTTCCTCGCCGGCTTCGACCCGCAACGCTTCGTTTGACAGCAGAACAATTGCGGATCATGTGACGTATTGTCCGTAGACGCATCGTCTATGTTAGGACTCCATATGAGTATGAAATCGGAGTCATTAATACGATTAGGCAAGCGGCGTGTCCGTAAATTGAGGCTGCAGCAAGGCTATTCCCAAGAGAAGTTAGCCGAAAAATGCGAATTCGATCGTACTTACATTAGCCTGATTGAGCGTGGACTACGCAATCCCTCCTTCACTAATCTGCTGAAATTAGCGGAAGGTCTCGACTCGTCAGTTTCAGAACTCACTGCTCGATTTTGAAGAATGGTGTTGAGGCTAATGAACCACGAATTACTAAAAGCCGCAGTGGCTGAAATAAAGCAATCGATGCACATAGCCATAACTACTGCGTCGTATAAGAAGCGTGGCGCCAAGCGTGCCCAAAAATACAGTAATGGCCTTGAGGCCAAAACAGCGCTCATACGCAGTGAGCGTCTGATTCAACGTATTCACGAAGTTACAAAAAAAAGTGTCAAGGACGAACTCAATAGCAGGGGTATTATTCACAAAATACATCCTTGCCTTGGAGCTAATTCCCCCGAATTAAACGTCTGGGGATTACTTAAAAAGAAGAGGCAAGATGTAGTAGTACTTGTGGGAGATGCGGCGCCTAAGACGGAAAAAATTCAAGAGGGCCCCTTAAGAGGACAAATGGATAAACTTGGGCTTGAGGCAACCAGACAATCCATTGTAATTGGTGTCAGGAGCCAGCTATCGAGTATTGACAAGAACTTCGATACGCTTATGGAGAGGACGTTCGCCGAAACAATGAACCTCAGATTCCGCCACCCTCAGCTAGTAATGGGAGAGGTATACCTGCTGGCTGTAAAGGACTACGACGAACAGTCAATGAAAGAAAATCGAGTAGATTGGCAAGATAAATATACGAATGTAGAAAGGTTCATATCTATATTCAATTCTATGAACGGGCGAGATAACTATCAGGACGTAAAAAGCTATTACAAATACGAGAGATGCCTATTGCTGCTAGTCGACTTCAGTTCAAACCCACCTAAGATATACAACACGCTCAATGAACTTCGCGCAGACAGGATAGTAAGTAACAACTTTGATGAAGATTTCTCTCGACTTTCCCCAATGAACTTCTCCCACGACCTAGTGGAAGCCTATTTCCGGAGGCACAGAATAATGTAACCTGCCTCATTAATGTGGAATGTGGACGGGGTAGTTAGCTGGCACAGCGTCTTGGAACTACTTCGAGAACCTCGTCAACCGAGATAGCAAACAGTTCGCAGATATATTCCTGTAGTATCTCTCCGTCGAGAGCGAGTAAAGAGTCTGCCGCGTGCAGGGAAATGTCAGGAACGCCGAAACGTTCTATGAAATTCTTTTGGAAGCACTGATAGTCTCCATCTATCTGAAATGAGGTTATCCTAGCGTAGTAGTCCATTACCCAAGAATTTAGGATCTTTTGTAGAACCCTAATGTTAATGGGAGCGAAAAACAGGTTGCCGCTTCCTTGCGGCGTCACAGAATATCCGTTGCAGAATAGACTGTCTGTTTCGTCAAGCAGGAATTGTGGACCCCGATTGAATGTTTTAGTCAGAAGTTTCGGTCCAGGGGCCTCCATACCCTGTGTCCTCCCCCATTCGTAGAATCGGCGTGGAACCTTTTTCCCTTTATCCCGCTTCAAAAGAGCGTCTTGGTGTAGTTTTAGGTGCGCGTATGCGTTGGGATATTGCTGGCAAAGCTCACTCTCTTCAATTGGCAACCATTTCCCACCAATTTTTCGATACGGCTGAATGACACGGATTTGATTCCATATGAGTTGATCTTCGTCGGAGAATTCAGCGATTTTGATTGCCGACTTCGTGATGCCGGGTTCAATCCTATGGTCAAATGCAGTATTGATCCTGGATAAATTAGAAACTGCCTTTGAGTTAATAGAGCCTTCATTGATTAGAAAGACGGAATCCTTCAGCGTAGCGAAGCCACGACGTGATTCCAGCAACGCTTCCACCAGAGACGTTCTGTCAGTCTCGCACACATTGCTGATATTCCTCAGAGTAACGGTTTAGACCAGACGACTAGACGCCATTTATCAGTTCTCACACCGCGTGCTCTCATGTGATGGAAATCGGCAGGCTTCAATGTATCTAGTTGTGTCTCTGGCTCGGTGCATCGATAGAAACGAAGTGTTTCTTTCAGTCCTTTATCCAAAAACATCAAGCATGTGTAAGCTGATGACTCAGGAAAAACTTTCTTATGCCCAAAGTCAACAATAGTATGTATACTCTGATGCGGTTGAAGAAAATCCCTCACTCCTTTGCCCGCCAAGGATGTATAGATATTGTTCTGGGTTATATATCCTAATACACCAGATTCAGACAGAAAACGGTATCCAGCAATCAGAAATAACATTGCCAGACTAAAACTCCCTGTTGTGAACTGGGGATACGTGTCACGGAGTGCTGTACGATATCGATCATCAATGTTCTGAAGCTTGACATACGGTGGATTTGTCACGACGATTTCAAAGCCTTCGCAGTCAATTCCAAAAGTGTTCAGAACCTTCTCTTTTGGAATCAAGAGCGTGTCCTGCTGGAGCAAGAAACTGAATCCTGACGGAGGATTGATCGAACTTTCAGCGCAGAATAGTTCAAGTGATAACTTTGTGCATTCAATAGCCTCGCCGTTGATATCTATGCCATAGAGAAATTCATTTATGACCGCTTCTTTAGAGATGCGGTACTTTTCGGAAAGTACGGGGATGGCTCTTACCAAGAAGCCACCGCTACCGCAAGATGGGTCAATAAGGTATGGCGCGTTCCTGTTAGAACGAATTCCAATGCACTGTCTCAAGATGTAATCGATCACATAGTTTGGTGTATAGACAGTGCCCTCTGTGCGCTTGCGTCCGATGTGGATCAAATTCTCAAAAGCGACTTCGACCTCCTTTAGAGAAAAATTCTCGTTGACTGAGATGATCCCAGCTTCAAGATCATTCGCTGGTGCACATTCGGTTACACGCTGGATATTTTCGCCAATGAAACGCGACGAGGCTTTGTTCACTCGGAGCCACGCTCTAACTACGGAGGAGAGACATGCTTCCCTGCCGTATTCGTCACTATATTGCCTGACCAAACTGGCAATTTTGCGGTTCATAGTCCTGGAATTTGTTGCCATTGTGGATTTCCAAGTATTACAGGGTTATACTGACTGCGGATTTAGCAAGTTAGCATACTAGGATGCTTTGCTCTCCCCTAATCCGCCGCGCTCACCACCGTACGATGATGTGCTTCAAACAAGTTCAGCGAGCGCCTCTTGCGGACTGGCGGCGCGGATTGGCGAGTGTTGATAGTCCCGGATATTCCCCTCGTTACGATGTACCGTGCGCCGCAGCGCGCGCGCAGCAACCTGGCATCGCGTCACAAAGTCCGCCATCGGAAGCGCGGCGGCGTAGCGAATAACCTTCAGTGTCGGTCATTGCCACTCAACAAACGAGTCACTCGACGATGAAATCTCGCGTGCCAACTCCGCCACGAGTTGGAGCCACTATGTAATAGAGGTTAGATACGGAGTGCCAAGCGATACAAGCAGGCTCAACTCGGACTCAATAATATCCAGCAGTTCGACGCCGACTCAGATGAGGACTTCTGTCTAGCGCAATGTCTATAAGCACATCGTTGTCGATTAGCATCATGTCAGAACTTCTTTGCCAGAGCGTCGTAACGCGCATCGTCGCGCTCTGCCGCTTTGAACTTGCCGCGCCAACGCGATGCGAAGGATGGCGTGGCATCAGCATCTAATTCCTTGAACTCCTCCAGCGACCTGAACTCCAGCGGCTTGCTACGCATCTCATTCAGCATTTCGAGGTCGTCCAGGTCCTCAAGCCGCTCCAGCATCTCCACATACTCCTGATCCCCACGATAACCGCGGCTGGTTCACCATCCTCCACCACAATCTGAATCGGCCTTCTCCTAGCCTCTGATTCCATTCCTATCCCCTCCATCCTGTTTGCTCCGTCCCCTGACGGCTGATGGCTGACCTCTAATCCCCTAATCCGCCGCGCTCACCACACCCTCCGCCTCCACACCCAGCAGCCCTACAACGCGATAAAGCCATGCTAATCGCAGCCACCCAAAGCGTCAAACCACCTGCATAATCCTTCGCCCTGAGCTCGTCGAAGTACACAATAATCAACTTGCTTCCACCCAGCCCTTCGTTTTAGTATGACTTTAACACCTAGCAACATATTTCAGTACTTTGTAATAATGAAAGCTACCTAAAAAACAAGTGTGCTCGCTTGCAGAGAGTGACTTATTATTGACACACAGACAGCACCCCGAACTGAACGCATAGCAAAGCCTATGATTTGAAAACGCTTTGAACAAGAACCATCCAGATATCTCGCAGAGTCGACGCCAGTGCCGCCCGCCCAGATAGGACGCGCGTCTCTCGATCGCATCGAGGCCGACAGTTGCAACGCTATTCGCTTTTTCTATGTCTGCTAAGTTTGAATCATCATGATATGACCGCGTCTCCTGTTACTGCCCGCCTTCTCGAGCCGCGATAGATCGGCGTGCTTCTGGCTCGTCTACAGGCTAGCCCCAATACGCCGCCGCGCTCACGCACACCACTCCCATCTCGCCTCCCACGCACCAGCATCCGCAACAAGATACTGCCGCTCTGCGCAAGTGTCGACAATCGCGCCCCACATCCTCCGCGCCGCTCCCTCCGCATCAGACTCTGCCACCTTGTCACTCCGCCGCCGCCGTCACCGACGCTCAATCAGCCAAGTCCGCAGCTCTTTATCATGTCCAGCCGGTGCCATGTCTACGATAAGGCACACCGTATATCCCACGCGTCCTACGAGCCGAATGGAACAGCCAGCACCCGCACAGCAAATGCGCGCAGTCCTCGAACGACAGCCCCGTCGTCGGCTCGTCCAGAATATACAGCGTCTTCCCCGTCGCCCGCTTCGACAGCTCCTTCGCCAATTTCACCCGCTGCGCCTCGCCCCCGCTCAACTGCGTCGCAGGCTGCCCCAGCCGTATGTACCCCAACCCCACATCCTGCAATGTCTGCAATCGCCGCCGCACGCGCGGGATATTCTCGAACGCATCCAGCGCCTCCGTGACCGTCATCGCCAGCACATCCGCGATATTCGCGTCCCGCCAGTAAATCTCCAGCGCCTCGCGGTTATACCGCTTCCCCTCGCATATCTCGCACGGCACCGTAACATCCGGCAGGAACTGCATCTCGATATTGATATGCCCGTCCCCCGTGCATGCCTCGCAGCGCCCGCCCTTCACATTGAACGAGAACCGCCCCGGCTTGTACCCGCGCATCCGAGCCTCCGGCACCGTCGAGAACAGTTCGCGTATCGGCGTGAAAGTATCCGTGTATGTCGCCGGATTGCTCCTCGGTGTCCGACCGATAGGCGACTGGTCGATGTCCACCACCTTGTCGATATGCTCCACGCCCTCGATGTCGCGCACCGCTCCCGCCCTGTCCCGCGCCCGGTAGAACTGCTGCGCCAGTTTCTTGTACAGAATCTCGTTGATCAGCGTGCTCTTCCCCGACCCGGACACCCCCGTAACGCACACCAGCATCCCCAGCGGAATCTCCACATCTATGTCCTTCAGGTTGTTCTGCGCCGCCCCCCTGATGACCAGCTGCTCGCCGTTCCCCGGACGCCGCTCAGCAGGCAGCGGAATCTGCCGCCGCCCGCTCAGGTACTGCCCCGTGATGGACTCCGCCGACGCCATGATATCCTCGACAGGCCCCGTCGCCACGATGTGCCCGCCATGCTCGCCCGCGCCCGGCCCAAGGTCAACGATGTAGTCCGCCGCCCGCATTATCGCTTCGTCGTGCTCCACGATAAGCACCGTATTCCCTAGGTCGCGCAGCCCCTTCAGCGTCTGTATCAGCCTGTAGTCGTCCGCCGGATGCAGCCCGATAGACGGCTCATCGCACACATACAGCACTCCCATCAGCCCCGACCCGATCTGCGTCGCCAGCCGTATCCGCTGCGCCTCCCCGCCGCTCAGCGTCGATGCCGTCCGCGACAGCGTCAGGTAGTCCAGCCCGACATTCAGCAAAAAGGTCAGCCGCGCCTCGATCTCCTTCAGAATCTGCCCCGCAATCGCCTTCTCCCGATCGCTCAGCACACTCGGATGCTCAACCTTCACCCGCCCATTCCGCGACGCCTTAGACTTCCTCTTACGCCCCTTCGCACCCTTCACCGTCCCATTCGCCGCTGCACCATTTGCCGCTGCACCATTTGCAAGAGGAACAGAGCCTGTTTCGAGCTTGTCGAGTGAATGAGGAACCTGACCGCTATCCCCCCCAATCGCCGCAATCCACGCGCTCGCCTGCGCGATAGACTTGTTCGTCACATCCATAATGTTGATGCCGCACACCGTAACTGCCCGCGCCTCCGGCCTCAGCTTCTCCCCCTTGCACGCGCTGCACGGGTTCGTCGACATATACCGCTCTATCTCCGAGCGCACATGGTCCGACTCCGTATCCTTGTACCGCCGCTCCAGATTGTTGATGACCCCCTCGAACGCCGTCCGCCAGCGATACGTCTTGCCCCGCCGCGTGTGATGCTGCACATCGATACGCTTGCGCTTCGTCCCGTACAGCACCCTGTCGAGGTCCTGCTTCTCCATATCCTTCACCGGCACATCCAGCGAAAACTCAAACGCCCGCGCCAGCGACTCAAGTGGCTGTAATACCACGGACTCATCGCGCCCGACCGCGCCCACGGCTGCACCGCGCCCTCCGCGATGCTCAGATTCCTGTTCGGAATTACCAGGCCCTCGTCAACCTCCAGCTTGTACCCCAGCCCCGTGCATGTCGAGCACGCCCCGTGCGGATTGTTGAAGCTGAAAGTGCGCGGCTCAAGCTCCCCCATGCTGATATTGCAATGAACGCACGCGAACTGCTCCGAAAACAGCAGCTCCTCGCCACCGACCACATCCACCAGCACCGTGCCGCTCGCCATCTTCAGCGCCGTCTCCACCGAGTCCGCCACCCGCGTCTGCTCCGCGCTCGTCCCGATGACCAGCCTGTCCACCACCACCTCGATGTCGTGCCACTTCTGCTTGTCCAGATCGAACGACTCCGACAGATCTTGAACCTCGCCGTTCACCCGCACCCGCACAAACCCCGCCTTGCGCGCGTCCTCGAACACCTCCTTGTGCTCGCCCTTCCGCCGCCGCACCATCGGCGCCATAATCTGAATACGGCTGCTCTCCGGCAAACCCAGCACCGCGTCAACAATCTGCTGCACCGTCTGCCGCTCCACCGGACGCCCGCACTTGTAGCAATGCGGATGCCCCGTCCGCGCGAACAGCAGCCGCAGGTAATCGTAAATCTCCGTAACCGTCCCTACCGTCGAGCGCGGATTATGCGACACGCCCTTCTGATCTATGGAAATCGCGGGAGAAAGCCCCTCGATATAATCCACATCCGGCTTATCCATCCGCCCCAGGAACTGCCGCGCATAAGAAGACAGCGACTCCACATACCGCCGCTGCCCCTCAGCATAAATCGTATCGAACGCCAGGGAACTCTTGCCCGACCCCGAAACACCCGTCATCACCACAAGCTTATTGCGCGGGATCGTAACGCTCACATCCTTCAGATTATGCTCCCGCGCCCCCCGAACAACGATATTCTCCAACGGCATATTTTGTCCTTTTTTCTTCTTGAATCTCCAATAGTGATGAACCCAGCGGACGTCAGGCGAGTCACTGCTGAAAGATAAAACGGCAAATGCTAAAGGGCAGGCATGTCAATACCCGCAGCGTTCATTTTAGCATTGAGTTAGAGGCAAAGGCAGGTGTTTGGGGATGTTCTTGAATAAACGCACAAGAATACCTGTGTGTCCTACCAAGGCAAATCGTCTTCTTGGTACCGGTCAGTGTATGCAATATGCCTGTCAAGCGATAAGCGTACAGAATAATCCAAGAATGGCCCGCCGCCCAAGTTTAGACGGAAGGAATCATTTGCCATAAACTCTTGGTCCGACCAAACACCGAGGTCTCTACCGCTCAATGTATCGGTAACAGAAACATCGGCATGAAATGTACCTTGATCTTGATACTGCTGCGCATTGTTGAAATAAAAGACTACATGGGAACTATGCAATTCAACAGACTCTACATAAGTCCAACGCTTAAAGAAAAGACGGGTCTGATTATCCCTTAATACATTGCTCCCCCATCGCATAAGAGTGCTTTTGGGGAGCAGATGGAGTAATGTTTCATATTCGGCTTGGCTTCTGCATACGATATATCGTAGTGCTCCAAGCCCCAACTGCTTTGGAACGATGACCTCAGCATGTCTATGAAAGATAATCTGAGCTTTTAGGTCGTCAGAAATCGAGGAATCATGATAAACGTACTCGAAAGGTATCTGTTTCAGTTCCGGCACCGCTGAGAAGACATTCGGATTAGACGCCAAATTACCATCCGTAGCGAGGCTGTCAGCACGCGACAAAACCGCTTTGGAATCGAACAGAAAGTAAATTGGAACAGGACAGTGAGCGCCCTGCCATCGTTGTTCCAGTGGTCTGAACCCTTCATTGCGGTATTGAGTTGGCGTCCTGGGACGAAAGTAAAGCCGGACATAGTCTTTCCACTTATCGTCAGTGCTGCCAATGATTTCTTGGCTTGCATTGTCCGTCGTCATCAGTCCCAGTCGTTGGGCTTCATTCCGGCTGTGCAATGCGCCCGCTTTGAGTATCGACACTGCATTCTGAATGTCCGTAAAGTGAAACAGATAATCCGGCCACCAACGCCTGGCAGTTCCCAGCCAATTCGCTTTCTTCAGGTCGGCCAAGAACCTCGCTACTCCTATTGCGTCAGGTTTCTGCCTGGGTGTCATACAAGTTGCAACTGTCTTGAATCGGATTCAATTGGAACTGCGTCGCGTGTATTCAAGGATGGCTTTAGCAACAAGCCGACTGCATTTCTTGTTAGCTGAGTGTCCCTATTGGCTTGGCGTATCAAGTCGAAGTATGGCAACTCCACAAGCAATGGAACTATGTACGCAGAATGAAAATCAAGACCACTGGGCATTATGTCAGGTATGCATATGCCCATATCTCTGACCTGCTGCCATAAATCTAATAGTTGCTCCTTATGCAGGAGAACTTGGTCTGTGGAGATATTTATCTGTATGCCTCCATCTTCGGAATCATGAAAGACATCAGCCGTAAATGTCTCCCTCCCATCCAGAGTGCCAAACTGCCGCTTGGTTTCAACTATGTCAACCAAGTCATCCCACACCTCGGTGAAGGCGAGCGATTGAGGCTGTGACCTGAGCCACTCTTTCGTATCCTTTGGAACCCTATGTTCAGGCTTAGCTCCGGTGCGAGAAGAAGCCACATGTATGAAAATCTCTATCGGAAGCCCCTTCAGATACTTTTCCATTAGCGGCTTCGACTCAGTCTTCCAGTCCAATTCTCCATTTCCGCACCCTAGTTGCGGAAACGAAATTGATGTAATCCTGGCTTCCTGATAGATCTGAGAGAATTTCTTCAGTCCCGCCTCAAGGTAGTCCGGCTTTGAAGGACTCCGCCAGTGCTTCTTCGTGGGGAAGTTCAACACCCATTTATGAGGCGTCTTATAGACCCACAAATCCCCAACATTGAGCATCCCTCTCTCGCACAACTGCTGGTATTCATCGAACATATCCGGATAGATGCTCTTGAACTCCTTGGCAATGCCCTTACCCATCACGCCGACGGTATTGACCGTGTTCACCAGCACCTTGGCAGGACTATCGAACAGGCTGAAATCTACATAAGTAATCATCGTGCATTCCCCGGCTATGAACAGTTATGCCGAACGTGTGATGCGATTGAAGATCGCCCCCTTTGTAACGGATCAACGCTCTGGACTTCAAGCCGTATGAGGCACCCCGCTGCGAGTGAGTGGGGCACCATGTCGGCGTTCAATTTAATTGAGCGTCTCCCAGAATTGCTAGGTTGTGGAATCGCACTTCGACCATCTTCCCACAGACCACCATTTTGCGCACAGTGTAGCACATCGTGAAATGCCGTCCGTCCGTCGCTTCGATGTAGCAATTCCTCTTGACAACACAAACGTTCGTGCGTATTATAGTGCATACTCTTAGAACATACAACCTAAGCAATTTGCCTTGCGGCAGGCCCAAGGCACTAACTGACAACTCAAGACTGATGGCTGAAAACTAAAGCCTATGTGCATCCAGCAGACATACAACACAAGATTCACAGCTTCACCAAAGACGGTGAACACATCGCGCGCTTCCTCACGGAAACAATGCGGGGCAAGACCCCCGGCGTCAAAGTCTGCCACAGAATGGAAGCCGCAAAACACCTTATCCGCTACGGCTTCCCCGACGAAGCACGGCAGCAGGACCAGTTTGACATGAACGAGTCGAAGGTCGAGAACACCGACAAGAAAGCCCCTTCCCCCTCGACGGGGGAAGGCTGGAATGGGGGTGAAATATCCTCTGCATCGTCAGTTCCCGTAACCCACCTCGACATCCTCAACTACCAGATCGCCCACCTCATACGCCACGAAACAGCCGATGGCCACACCCTCGTAGAGTTTCTCATTCACATAATGACCGGCAAAGACAGACCCTTCACACCAAAGAAGTTCTGCATCAAGCCCGCAGATCGCATGGCAGCAGCGAGAGAGCTCCTGCGCCGAGGCTTCGGAGACCTCGGCTCACGCCGCAAGCCCTCAGACACCACGACGAAGCAAACGCCTACGACACCCTGCACTCAGACCTCGCCAAGCGAATGCGCGAGTACAGCGAGCGCGGCACCGACACCGTCCGCTTCCTGCTGGAAGTGATGTCAGACCCCGACCCTGACCTAGAGTTCACCATCCACCACCGTATGTCAGCGGCACAGGAACTTCTGCGCCGAGGCTGGGACACCAACTACGACAACATCAAGCCCGAGCACCTCCAAGCCTACTGGCGCGACAAGGAATCCCCGCGCCTCTCCATAGGCCAGAAGAAGACCCAAGCCGGCCTCTCAACCTCCATCGACGACTACGACAACTACGACGACACAGACTACGAAGCCATCGCCAAAGAGATCAGAGAAGAAGAAGACCGAGACGACAACTCAAAGCCTCTTCGTTTCCAAGAGACCGTCCCATCTTCTCGCCATTCCTCCGAAAGCAGGAATCCAGAAGACCACCAAGCCGCCACTCCTGCCACAAAGCTCCCTCTCCCTCAGGGAGAGGCAGGCGTGAAGGCACTAATAATTCCCTTCCCCCTCGACGGGGGAAGGCTAGGATGGGGGTGACGGAGCCGGTGTCCAAGAGCCTACCCCAGGCTGAATCAAGGACGTACCAGCCGCAGACCGCAAAGCCATCATCAAAGAGTTCAAGGAAGCCATGGACAGGGGCGACGAGCGGGCAGCCCTCCGCGCAGAGGCAAAGTACCGCCGCATAGACGTAAAACCAGAAAAGAACATCTACGACTACGGCCCCAACGACCCCGACCCAACCATAGACTACTACTTCGAACCCCTAAGCCCCGAACAACAGACAAAGTTCGACAAAGAAGACAGACGCGAACACGGCCTCACCGAAGAAGAGATCGCAGAATATTCAGGCATCCCCACGCAAAGAGCCAAATCAGACCCGCTCAAGCACCTCACCCAAGCCGCCGCCACCCACAACACACCCATCCTCCCCAACCCCCTCGCCGCCAAGCGCAAAAACCCCACCATCCGCAGCCCATAATCTCAAAGTCCCCTCTCCCTCTGGGCGAGGGCTAGGGTGAAGGCATAAAACTCCTCACCATCCTGCGCATCGATGTTAGCCCTTGTCTGACACCTGTCCGCTGACGGCTGAACGCTGATTGCCGACCGCTGCCACCCGATCGCTAAAACCTAGACCACCACCGGTATCCTCGTCCCCGGCGTCGTCATCTGCAGGCTGTATATCGAAGTGTTCGATGTGAAGTACATCGTGCGGTTTTCCTCGCCGCCCCAGCCGCAGTTCGCCGGATACTCCGGCAGCTCTATCACGCCTATCAACTCGCCGCTCGATTCAAACACCCAGCACCCGCCGGGCCCCGTGCAATACACGCGCCCCTCCACATCCACCTTCATCCCGTCCGGTACGCCATTGTTCGCATGCTCCGACGGCATATCCGCGAAGTGCCGCATGCCCACCACATCGCCGTCCGCATTCAGCTCGTATGCCATGATGTACTGCCCCGGCCGCGTATTCGCCACATAAAGCACGCTCTCATACGGCGAGAACGCGATCCCGTTCGGGTACTCGAACGGCACCACCAGCTCCACCTCGCCGTTCGGCCTGATGCGATGCACGCTGTTGAACTGCAAGTCCACATCGGCAGGCTCAAGTCGGTCGCGCCCCGGGTTCGTGAAGAACAGGCTGCCGTCCGACTTGAGCACCACATCGTTCGGACGGTTCAGCCGCTTCCCCTCCGAGCTGTCCGCGATGACCGTGTACGATCCCGTCCTCCTCCATCCGCGTCAGACGCCGGTTCACCATCTCGCATATCACCACGCGCCCCTGCGAATCGAAGGTCATGCCGTTGGAGTCCCCGCTGTCCCCCCGAATAAGCTCAGGCTCTTCCCCCGGCACCAGCTTGAATATCTGCGCCCGCCGTATGTCCACGAACAGCAGGTACCCGTCAGGATGCCACAGCGGCCCCTCCGTAAATACGAACCCCGTAGCCAGCCGCTCCGCCTCCGCCGATTCAACGATTTCAGAAAGTCTGTCAGACATATCAGCCCCTTATAATTTTCATCCCGTACATCGGTTAGACCCGCGTGTACTTCACTATGCGTCGCCCCGTGCTGCCCTCGCCCGATGTCGGCTGCACGAAGTAGATATTCCCCTCAGAGTCGCCTGCCGCGCCGTGGCAGCTCCGGTACTTCTCGTCGCCCCAGCGCGCCAGCAGTTCGCCGTCTCCGCTCAGCACACTGAAGTACCCGCCGTTGTGCTCGGCTACATAGCAGTCCCCCTCCGTATCCTCCCACACCACCGCAGGCCCGATCAACTTCGTCGGCCACTCCGCCAGGAACTTGCCCTCCTGAGTGAACACCTGCACTCGGTCATTCTCGCGGTCCGCGATGAGCAGCCGCCCGTCCGCCGTGATGCAAGCGCCATGCGGCAACATGAACTCACCCGGCCCTCTGCCCGGCTCGCCCCACGACCTTCGCAGCGCCCCCTCCGCCGAGAACCGATGCACCCGCGCATTCGCGTAGCCGTCCGCCACATAGATGTCCCCCGACGGCGCGACAGCGATGCCCGCCGGCATATTGAAGGGCTCGCCCCCATGCGTAACCTGCATATGGCCGCTCGACCCGAAATCGTCGGGTCCGCCCCCGTATCCGAGCGAACTCCCTTCTCCCGATGGTCATCAGCAGTCTCGCCCTTGCGGTGTGTATTTCAGTACCTGCTGGTCGTTGCGGTCCACAATCCAGATGTTGTCATGCGCGTCCGCATAAATCGCATGCGGGAACGAGAACCCCGTCTCGCCCCAGTCATACAGGTAGCCGCCGTCCTTGTCGAACACGATGACCCCATGCTCGCCCCTGTTGAACGCATACACCCTGTCCTGCGAGTCCACCGTCACCGCCGCCATCGGCGCATTCCAACCCTCCGGCACCTGCGCCCAGTCCTCGTTCACCTCGTAAGTATGCCTGCCGCTTCCAACTGTGTTTGCCACAACTGTTCTCCTTTTCGATACTCGCTACGCAACCCGATCTAGCCAGTATCGTCCATAATGCTGGAAATGAAAGTAAATCACGTTTTGTCCTTCCCTACTAGGGAAAGGTTTGAGCCTGCCCATCGAAACGAGATGCGGGTAATCCAACGATTAGAGAATGCGGCAAGCCTATTGGGTAACAGATATAGCCTGTTTTATGTAGGCAGGGTCGCTCACCTGCCTGACCAGAAAATCTGCGAGGTCTGCGCGATTGATGTTTTTCACTTTTCCTGAGTTGCTGGCGGTATAGTCTCCCGATGCCGGCTCATCGTTTGAGGATAGCGGCGCGACATCGTCCAACTCCAGCGACTTTGCTTCAGCGCCTCCTGAGTCTCGTGTCAGAGTAATATTCCGCAGCATCGTCTTGAACTAATACGGCCAATCCCACGTTTTGTGCTCACCAACTCTCTCCCACTCGCGCGCAGCGTGCAAAACCCGAGGCGCCGTACATTGTGTCGGGTCATACGCGTCCACCACATTTCTTGGCCGTCCGTAGTGTCGTCTTGTCGCCTACCCATTGCTGCCCAGAACCACGATTGCTGGTCTGATTGGTGACCGCCGCCCACCAATTCGGCATCGTTTACTCGCCTTGAAAAGCGCGATTCAGTTCCGCAGTCAATCTGTGACCGAGCGCGTAAATGCCGTGACCGCCTGCCCTTCTTCAACGCCCGCCGACACACATGCTGTCCTTATCCCGTGCGCCAAAAATCAGTCCTAATTGCCGATATCCTTTCCCCATCGATAATACCCTTTTTGCTCAATGGTTTTCAGCCTGCCTGCAAGCCTCCATCACTGCCCGCACGGAATCGATGTCAGGACGCGCAGCCACCACACGCACAACGGCTACGTCCAGCCCCTCCGCGAGTCGCTTGAACTCCGCCGCCGCGCCCTCCGCATTACCGTAGTAGCCCACCGTGCGCAGCAGTTCAGGCGAGAACGCATCCGCCACTTCATCTGCACTTGCGCCGCGCCGCCGCATGTCGTCCAACCCTGCAAGTTCCTCAGTGAAGCCCATACGCTCGAAGTGAGCGCGATAGCCAAGTTGACGCTCCCGTTCCGTAGGAATCGTCGCACCCAGAGCATAATTCATCGTCGCCTTGGCGAACGCCCGTCGCGCCACATCTTCATCGTCGTCAACGCACACCCGGATATACTCCGCGAGCTTGATTTCAGAAGGATCGCGCCCTGCCTTCTCCGCACCCTCATTCACGCGCTCGCGGCTCCAAGCTATCTGCTCGGGACTGCACCAGTTCAGGCACGCCCCGTCCGCAAGCTCACCCGCAAGCCGCAGCATCTGCGGTCCCAGGGAGCCAAGATACACGGGCGTTCTGGGCGGTGGGTCTATTGCGAGGCGCGCGCCGCGCAGCGTAACCACATCTCCTTGGTAATCCACGCTCTCGCCGGCGACAAGCGGTCGAATCGTGGCGAGGTAATCGCGCATCAGCGCCAGCGTGGACAGGTTAGGCAGTCCGAGTGCCTGCCGAGCGCGAGGACGATACGAGCCGCCGGAGCCGATGCCCATGATGAACTTGCCGCCGCTTATGTCGCTCACCGTGCCGCCCGTCATCGCAAACGCCATCGGCGTGCGGTACATCACCGGCGACACCGATATGCCCGTCGTAACTCCGCCGTCCACCACATCGCAGCTAGCCTCCCAGCGACGCAGGCAAAGCTGATATGAGTCTTGGCCGGTGCCCTCGGGCGTCCAGATGCTGGTGTATCCCTGCTGCGCCGCCTCTCGCGCAAGAACCGACTGGTCGTCCCACGACAAGTTTGAGCGTCGCATCTAACCCAACGCCGATTTCCATTGTTCTCTTCCTTTCCTCTGACTGACATGCCTAGCGACCGGTCACTATTGACGCTCCGGTGAGCGTCTAGTAGACATAAGATTAATCGCTTGGTAGTATAACGGCAACAATATCACACCATAAACCAGGAGAGGAGAGACATCGATGGCAGACGTAGCGTTAGTGACCACAGCAATTGCCGGTCTCGTAGTTTCGGTAGGAGCTTTGCTCGTATCCATAGGCGTACTTTACCTTGTGATGCGGATAGGCAACGCGATAGACAATCTTACCTCTGGTTCATAATTAACAGATAGACGCCTGATAGACATACGGGGACGCAATTGAGCGTCCCCGTATAGTTAATAGCCGAAATCCGGCCGGTTAGCCTCTCGAAGGTAAAGCTACGGTCGCCGCTCCCGGCGTAGTCTTCTTCCCTTCGTGGTCTTCGAGCCAGATGTCGCAATCGACCAGGTTCTCGCCGTTCTCGGTGTACTTCTTTGTGACGACACCCTTGCCGAGCATCGGCGTTCCCGGCACATCCATCCCCCGATACTGCGTCGTCAGTGACTTCAGCATGCCCTCTGCCCCAATCCAGTCGGTCATGACCTGCCCCAGCCACGCACCCTTCAGCGCGCCGTGCAGTATGACATCCGGCAGCCCGTTGCCCTTTGCGTAGTTCAGGTCGTAGTGAATCTGATAGTAGTCCCCCGACGCTCCTGCATACTTCACAAGTTGCTGCGTCGTCGGGTCCTTCCGCAGTGTAGGAACCTCCGTCCCTTCCTGAACATCCTCAAAATATACCTGATTGCCCATTATTATGCTCCTTGCAGACAAGTTTCATTCTATGACCGGATACTGACTTACTGACCAACCAATTCACCGACAAATCCCTACGGATCGTAGCTGATGCCAGTGGTGCGCTGAAGCGCAACGGTTTGCCCGAACTGGTTCGCATACTTAGTTTCTCGCACGCTGAACAGCATATTGCCCAGTCTGCCCGGACGCTCGAACAAGTCTGCGAGCATAGTCGTGACCGTAATGCGGTCGCCGGGGCGCACGGGATGGAAGTACTCCCACTGACTGCCGCCATCGAGATTGGCGGAGTATGGACTCTTGTAAGCGGGAGGGGCATTTGAGATGAGCGAGCGCATGAAAGTCGGCGGTGCGATTATGCCACCGTACCGCGTCTGACGCGCCACCCCCTCGTCGTTGAATAGCGGGTTCGTGTCTCCGATAGCCTGTGCGAACTTAATGATTGCGCCCTCTTCTCCACCTCATGCGTGATTGCCTCAGACTCCACGCCGATGGCATCGCGCATCTGCTGTGATATGACCGACTCCTGTGTCATGCAACATACTCCTGAAAGTGTGTCTGTGATTTGGCAAAAGTGTAAGTCGCACCCGTCTAAGTGTCAAGGAACAGCTAGACACACACCCAGTCGGGCAGGATTAACAGGAGGATGCAGTTGTGGTATAACTGACACACTAGCTAACTGACGACTCACTACTTGCTACTATTCAATGACAAGGAGATACACCATGACTTCAAATGGCAAAGTCGCCATCGTTACCGGCGGAGGTTCAGGCATAGGAAGGCATAGCGCGCTCGCACTACTGCGCGAGGGCTACTCGGTCGCCATCGGCGGCAGACGCATGTCTGCGCTCGAAGAAACCATAGCCGAAGCGGGCGACGGTGGCGAGCGCATGCTCGCAGTCGCCACCGATGTAACCGACGCGGAATCCATCCGCAACCTGTTCGCAGAGACAAAGGAGAGGTTCGGCAGGCTCGATGTGCTGTTCAACAACGCAGGCATCGGCTCGCCGCGCATGCCAATGGAGGACATTCCACTGGAAGCCTGGCAGGCGGTCGTGAACACCAACCTCACCGGCACCTTCGTCTGTACCCAGGAAGCCATCAAGATTATGAAGAGCCAGGACCCGATGGGCGGGCGCATCATCAACAACGGGTCAATCTCCGCATACACACCCCGTCCCGACTCGGTCGCATACACCGCCACCAAGCACTCGATTACGGGCCTGACCAAGTCAACATCGCTCGACGGGCGCAAGTACAACATCGCCTGCGGGCAGATTGACATCGGCAACGCCGCAACACCCATGACCGCGCGAATGAGCGGCGGAGTTCCGCAGGCGAGCGGACTTACCATCGAAGAGCCGACTTACGATGTCAACCACGCCGCGGACGCCGTAGTCTTCATGGCGAACTTGCCTCTCGACACCAATGTGCAGTTCATCACCATCATGGCGACCAAGATGCCCTACGCCGGGCGTGGATAACAGGACTTATTGGACGCTTGGTCAGTGCGGTCAGCAGGTGTTGATCATCCAATTCGTTATTCCTGCGAAAGCAGGAATCCACACGGTTGATGAGATTTGCCAATGTTCATCACCAACGCATGCTGACAACACTGACAGATTAAGAAGGACTTGCTCATATTCAGGAAGCAAGTTCCTTCGTGGCCTCCGCCAAGTTCCTGCGATGCAGTGCGCGTAGCCCTGGCACTTGCGACAGCAGCAGCACTGCCAATGTAAGCGCGCCCACGATGACATACGTGGACGTATCAATAATGATGTCCATGTTCCAGTCGAGTGTGGACATCTGCCCTACGAGGTATGCCTCGATTGCGTAGCCCAGAACGAACCCAAGTATGATGCCCACTACACCGGTTATCAGGCTTTCGACAGTAATGAGCATATTCACTTGCCGCTTGCTGAACCCGAGAGTTCGCATCGTGGCAAGTTCGCGGCTGCGCTCAGTAATATTGAGCGTCACGGTGTTGAAGACGGCGAATGCGGCAAGAGACATGCCGAATATGGTCATAATGCCGATGAACTGGTTGGTCAAAGCCATGAGTTCTTCGATACCCTCTCGCACATCCGCGCTTCGCTCCACCGAGAGCACATAGGCTCTCATCTCCAGCATCTGCGTTACTTCTGAGGCGTAGTCCGGATGTTCAAGGGTTATCAGGGCGGCAGTAGCGTGAAAGCCTCGCATAAGAATTGCGGCTTGCGATAGCCTCATATAGGCGGAATCGCCCATCGGGAATCTCACGAGACCGGCAACGGGAAACAGCTGATCTCGCCGCTCGGACTCCACCTTCACCGTATCTCCCACCTCCAGGTTCAGGTCTCTCGCAAGAGTCTCAGTTAGGAATATGCCGTTGGCGCTGAGAGGCTGAGCACCTTCCACATATTCGGGTTTCAGGAGCGTCGCGTCGTCAGGAACGGCGGTAACGACCGAGTGCTCGGAATATTCACCATTTATCAGCTTCACGGGTATTTCGGCGATGGGTTCCGCCTTGCGAACCTGGGGCCACGACTGGAATACATCCGTCTTTCTATAATCAAATGTCGTGAGTGAACAGCGCCTTGAGGTCGTGCTGCTGTATCTCGTTGAACTGCACGTCGAACGCATTATCCATTGTGTCCAGCATCCCCATCACCGCCGTGACCAGAGCAACCGAAACGGCGATGCCCATGATCGAAGAAAGTGTCCGCCAGCGTCCGCGTGTCATGTTGCGCAGCGCCAGCCTCAGCATGCCGGGCAGGCGCTGCATGGGCACAAACCTTTCCAGCATCATCGACACTCCGCCGGACGCTACGTTTGTCCGCATGGCTTCAGACGGAGTGAGTTGCGCGGCTGCAAGCGCGGGCTGAATGCCCGCTATGACACACGCTGCCAGGCCAATCGCGAAGGCGACGACCAGCACCCAAGTCTGACTGACGACCACTGTGAAAGGCAGGTCCAGTGTTTCGACATAGAGGCTGGTGAATCCGCCAGCCGCAAATGTCCCCCACAGTATCCCCAGCCCGTTGCCGATGAGCGCTATCAGGATGGGAAAGGTCAGGTAGTGGCGAAGTATTTGGATACGGGAGAATCCCTCGGCGCGCATCAATCCTATGATATGCCTTTGGCTCTGCACTATGCGCGTGAGCATCGCGAACGCCACCATCGCGGTTATGCACAGGAAGAGCACTGGCATAGCAATCGCCATCTCCTCGAAGCCGTCTATGTCCGACTTCAGGGTGGCGTAGCTCAGCTGCTCCTCCTTCTCGATGAGATGGTGAGTGCCGAATCTCTCCAGGTAGCCGTCTATCTCCGCCTTGACGGCATCGGCATCCCCGTCAGGCTTGAATCGAACCGTAATCTCATTTATCAGGCCCTCCACGCCGAGCATGTCGTCAACCACGTTCCTGCGAACCATCACGATGGCGAAGTCTCCCGGCGAAGTGATCAGTTCGGCGCCCCCCTTGGACTTCCACAGGTATTCGGGGCTTGTAATTGCGCCGCTGATCTGGAAGTCCCTGTCTCTGCCCTGATAGACCAGAGAAACGGTATCGCCGGGTTTCAAGTCGTAGTAGGTTGTGAACAGGTTGTCCACGAGCGCCTGCCGCCCGTCAGACGCTTCGAGGTATTCTCCCTCTCTCACGATGACGCGGTTGATATCCGGCGTCTCCTCGTCGGGAATGCTGATGACCCTAGCGGATAGCGTTTCATCAGGGTCGTCCGGCTGGCGCATGGCTATGTCCGCGACATACCTGCCCTCCGCCGCAACCACGCCATCAATATCAAGGATGCGATCCACAGCCCTAGCAGGTATAGGTGGGGCTACGATGTAGAAGCATCGGCGAAGTTCAGGTGCTCGTAAGGCGAAGTCCTCGGAACTTTCACATTCAGGAATGCCGAGTACATCGGTGACGAATATGCCCACGCCCAGTGTTAGCAGGGCAATGATGGAGATGAAGAGGGCACGCGATCGCCATAGGTCGCGGAATGCCTTTCTTAGCAGTGGGTTCACGGCTACCACTCAAGGTCTTCGGGGTGAATCGGATTTTCCGCCGCTCTATCCTCGACTATCTCTCCGCTGCGCATTCTTATAACGCGGTCGGCCATACGGCTTATCGCCACGTTGTGAGTCACCAGAAGGATCGTGGCGTTCTCAGATCGATTGATGCGCCTCATCAGGCCCAGAATCATCTTGCCCGTCTCATAGTCGAGATCGCCCGTTGGTTCATCCCCAAGCAGGATCGAAGGACCCTTCGCCAATGCCCTGGCAATCGCGACTCGCTGCTGCTCGCCGCCCGAGAGCTGTGCAGGAAAGTGGCCTATACGGTCGCCAAGACCGACAGAGCGGAGTGCGGGTATGGCGTTACGCTTGTTTCCCGTTAGTTCAGCGACCATCTCCACATTCTCTCCGGCGGTGAGCGAAGGGACGAGGTTGAAGAACTGAAAAATAAACCCCACTTGCTTACGCCTGTACATGGTCAGCGAGGCTTCGTTCATGTTGGTAATCTCGCTGCCGCCCACCCAAATCTGTCCACGAGTTGGGACGTCCAGCCCGCCAATCATATTCAAGAGAGTCGTCTTGCCGGAGCCGCTGGGTCCCAGAAGCACCACGAACTGACCTTCGAGGATGTCAAGGCTTACATCCTTGAGCGCAGAGACAATGGCATCGCCCACCTCGTATTGCTTCGTCACACCCTCGAGTCGGGCGATTACTCCATCCTGTCTATCCATGTCAGCCCCTGTCAGCGCCGTCGTCTTGCAAGCCGCCTGAGCCGCCGCTTGACCGTTGACCGCCCTCGCAGGTTGTCGGCTACATAGCGCGCCACATCCGGGCTGCCCAGCAGCAGAGGCGCCCGCCACTCGCGCAACTCCTTCATCGTCGTGCTGCCGCTGCTCCATGAAGGCACGAACGACTCCAGCGGCTGCCATCCCATCCCTGTGGGCAATGTTCCCAGCAACTTCTTTCGACCACCCTTCAGAACGATGCCTCCGGCTTCCATCACAAGCAGTGAGCCGCCCGCAGCATCCCATAGGAACGGCGCAGTCGTAATTGTGTACTGCGTAACACCCTTCGCCACCATCGCAAGCTCGTAAGCGATGCTGCCCGTCATACGCAGTTCCCCAAATTTGCCACGCAAACCCTTTCGCACCTTGAACAGTGCACCGAATCCACCCGGCAGTGTAATCAGCCTGTTGCCTTCAGGCGCCTCTGCCGTCAGCGCAACGACAGGGACGCCATCAACCTGCGTACCGCCTCCTCTGTGTGCATGCATCACGATGCCGCCGTTGTAGTTGGGCCACGGCAGGAATACCGCCGACACGACAGGAGCGCCCTGGTAAAGCACGCCAATGGAACTTGCATACAGCGGTAGCCCCGAAAGAAAGTTCCGCGTTCCATCCAGCGGGTCCAGCACCCAGACGAAGTCGGGCGCTGGCTGCTTATCCGCACTTGCGCGCTCTTCGGCATTGTCTTCTTCGCCCAGTATGCCGTGCTCGGGGAAGCGCTTGGCGATTGCCTTTTGCAAATATCTCTGGCATTCGTAGTCCGCGTTGGTAACCGGATCGCTCTGCTTGTCGTCCTTGTATTCGACATTCAGCGCGTGTTCAAAATGTCCACGCAGAATATCGCCTGCTCCTCGCGCAATCTTCACCGCATGCGCCTCAATCTCACGCAGTGCGTCATCGTCGTCCGGCGCCACACCGTTCTGCCTGCCGCCTACGACCGATTTCAGGCCTTTAAGGACGTTTCGCATTAAACCTTGCGCTCTCTTTCTGTTAGCAACTCTTTGAAACTCCCCTATAATAGCATTACAATGCGGTCGAAGATTGCAGATTCTGTGCATTACTCCATTCGTTTCATCCATAGCCAACAGGGAGCTTGCCCAAATGACGACTAACCGAGAAGGCTTCGAGATTTACGACGACCGCTTCGCCGCGATGATTCCGGACGATACACAACTGGTCAGACACTTCACGGGCATGGAGTGGGCAGAAGGTCCGGTCTATATCTCGGAAGGCGACTACTTGCTATGGAGCGACATTCCCAACGACCGTATGCTCCGCTACTCGGACGCTGATGGTGTTTCCGTCTTCCGCCAGCCCGCAGGCTTCACCAACGGCCACTATCGCGACCGCGAAGGACGATTGGTGAGCTGCGAGCACGGGAATCGCCGCATCAGCCGCACCGAGCACGACGGCACGGTAATAACGCTCGCCGACAACTACGAGGGCAACAGGCTGAACTCTCCCAACGACCTTGTGGTGAAGTCTGACGGCACAATCTGGTTCACCGATCCACCATACGGCATCCTCAGTGACCGCGAGGGACACAAGGCGGACAGCGAATTAGCGGGTTGCTTCGTATTTCGCCTTGAGCCGGACACGGGCGCGCTCGAAGTGGTCGTGGATACGATGGACAGGCCCAACGGCATCGCCTTCTCGCCTGACGAGAGCATACTTTATGTGGCGGACACCGGCGAGCCCGGCAACATCATGGCGTTCGATGTAGAAGACGGCAGGGAGCTCACAAATGAGCGCGAGTTCGCGGTCGTCAGTCCCGGCAAGTCGGACGGCTTCCGCTGCGACACTGATGGCAACATATTCACAAGCTCGGCTGACGGCATCCATGTGTACAGCCCGGCGGCTGAGTTGCTCGGCAAGATACTCGTGCCTGAAGACCGCAACGCCAACTGCTGCTTCGGCGGCCCCGACAAGAACCGCCTCTACGTCTGCGCCGACAAGTCTCTCTACTCCATCGTCCTGAACGCCAGAGGAGCGCAGACGCCATAGCCTTCTGGCAGCGCATGGATATGCAGAGTAGCAAGTGGAGGCACTTCACCTTCACCTTCATGAAAGCCATGTTTAAGCGATTCGCCGCTTGCCTTTGAGGTTCCTGCTACTTGCATTGCATGCATCCTCATTGTGGCATCGGCTATCGCAGCAAGGCAGTCTAATATGCTGGACAGGCAGCTTATATTCTTCCCTTCAAGGGAGATAACCCAGACTCCGGCAGATGTGGGACTGCACTTTGAGGATGTGTCGTTCTCCACGTCGGACGGCACACGGCTGCACGGTTGGTTAGTGCCTGGTCAAGGCGACACACGCTGGTCTGGTTTCACGGCAACGCGGGCAACATAAGCAGACCGCGTGGACAATATACTGCTGCTCAACCGGCGTCTCGGCGTGAATGTGTTCATATTCGACTATCGGGGATACGGACGCAGCGAAGGTAAGCCGTCCGAGCAAGGCATATACGTGGACGGGGATGCCGCGCTGGAGTATCTGCGCTCGCGCGACGATGTTGACATGGAGAAGCTGATATTGTTCGGGCGTTCGCTGGGCTGCGCTGTTGCGGTCGAGCTGGCAACCCACCACACTGCCAAAGCCGTTTTACTTGAGTCACCGTTCACATCGGTTGCGGACATGTCGCGCCGCACACACCCTTTGCTTTCACTATTGCTGCCGCCCCGTCTGCTTGTGCAGAGCAGGTTTGACTCACTCTCCAAAATGGGACGCATCGAAAGCCCTGTGATGGTGTGTGTGCATGGCGACAGAGACGACATAGTTCCAATTGAGATGGGGAAGGAACTGTTCGATGCCGCCAACGAGCCAAAACGCTTCTACGCGATTCAGGGCGCGGGCCACAACGATACGCATCTCGTAGGTGGCGAGCGATACTTCGCCGCGCTGCGAGAGTTATAGAAGGCTGAATACCATCCTCTTTATGCTGACCATGAATACTGCCCTGCAGTTCGTTCGTGGTGAGATTGCCGAACCACCATGTACGAAAGCACTGCTTCCTCGCTGAAAATCGAAAACTTGCTACAATGAAGCAGCCATACCACCTGAACGGAGAACAAACTTGCTTATACTGAAAGCCAGGACGAACTATACGCAACCGGATCGCAGTCGTGGAACTATTCGGTTCTATCGGCGGGCAGATAAAGTCCCCGGTCTATGAGCCGATATTCGCGTCCATCGCGCGAGACGACAACATACGCGCCCTCGTGCTGGACATCGACTCGCCGGGCGGCGGTGTGTCGGCGTCTGACTACCTCTACCGCAGCGTGCTGAAGGTCGCTGAGAAAGAAGCCGGTCATCGCCAGCATTCGTTGGTCTGGGCGCGTCCGGCGCGTACTACATCAGCTGCGCCGCCCACAAGATAGTCGACAGCCATGCCTCTATCGTCGGCTCCATCGGCGTCATATCCGTGCGCCCCGCATTACAGGAGCTTATGCAGCGTCTGGGTGTCGGCGTCAATGTTACAAGAGCGGCCTGCTCAAGGACATGGGAGCCTTCTGGCGCGATGCAACGCCCGAAGAGGAAACGAAGATGCAGGCGCTCATCGACGACTCATTCAACACCTTCGTCAGCATAGTCGCGGAGTCGCGCAAGATGGATGAGGAGGATGTGCGGCGCATCGCCACGGGCGAGGTCTATTGGGCGACTAAGGCGCACGAACTCGGGGCTGGTGGATGAGCTGGGCGACTCGACAGGGCGCTCGACATCGCCGCGAGACTTCGGGCGCACCGCGCAGGCCCGTGTATTTCGCCCACGCCGCAGCTACGCAAACTGCTGATGAACCCCGCCGCAGAAGCCCCTAACTGAGTCATCAGCAGCAACGAGGTGGGATGCGCCGCATTTGGTCAGGCTGGTTCGTGGTAAATGACCCAAAAGCCGAGACAAAAGGATAAAAGGGCCTTTATTTACTTCCCATCTGAAATTTCGTCTGAATTTGGTCAAATTAATCCTGTGCAGTGTTCTAAACCTTGCTAGAATCTTATCACTGATTGCATGCGTCAGGCTCAAGCAGTAGCTGAACCATCAGATTGGAGGGTATCAAGTAAACATAGGTGAATAAGAATAGGTCTGGCGCGTTCGCAAACCTGAAAGGCTACTCTTTATCTACGGACCTTACTTCTAATCAGCCCACGGACAACACCGTACAGCGGTCAAGACACTCGTACCAGAGGACATCACTACGCCCGAAGTGAGTGGACAACCTACTGCAGAGCAGCAGAATGTTGCGGCAGTCACTGTGGGCGATATCATCGTCGCGCCGGCGGACACGCTGTTTCAGTGCCCGTCAAACCTAGACGGCGTGTGCGTCCCCACATCCGCAAGCCCCAACATGCTCGCGTGAACACCACTCGATATCGGTGCGCGTACCGCGCGTTCGCCCTATGCGGGTCCACACATTCGACTCGTTCCAGCAATCGCAATACCGCTTCCTCTGGGCATCACGCTCTTTCTCAGCGGGGCGTTCTGGATGCAGCAGGTCATCATTGGCTGGCTGACCTTACGAGTTGACGCAGTCACGCGCTGCTGACAAAGCCTTGTGATGGGTTGGACGCCCTGCCTATCCTGATAGCGGGGACCAGCTCGGCGGCCTGCTGGTGGACAGGTGGGGACAAGCGCGAAGCTGCTGACGGGCGTGTTCGCGATCAGTCCGTGCTCGCTCTGGGGGTCGCCTTACTGGTGCTGCTTGGCACCGTGAAACAGCGTGGCATTGTGTTCGGCTCGTGTTCCTGATGGGCATTGGATGGGTGATAGCGGACCCGGCACGCATGTCGCTCATTCCGGCGATAGTGCCGCGCCACAGTCTGGTGAATGCGTTTGCCCTGAACTCGCTGGCGTTCAGCATTACCCGCCTTGCGATTCCCGCGGTTGGCGGCGCACTGCTTGCGTTTGCGGGCGCGGGCGTCGCGTTGCTGCTGCAGGGAGCCCTTGTCGCCCTTGCCTCGGCACTGGCGCTGGGGCTTGGCACCTTTGCAACCGCCGGGCAGTCCAAGCTCAACCCGCGCGTTGTCCTGTCGGAAATCCTGGAGGCCGTGCGCTACATCAGGGAAACGCCGGTTGTGCTCGGACTGCTGATGCTCGGATTCATCCCGAGTGTCCTGGTCTCCCCGTTCCTGCACGGGCTGATTCCGGTGTACGCGGCTGAGGTGTACGAGGTGGGGCCCGCAACTCTCGGCTTGCTATGTCTTCTGTGGCGCGGGCTTCCTCACAGGAACGCTGGTGCTCGCGTCGCTGGGAGACGTACAGCGCAAGGGCCTGATGATTATGGGGTGCATCGCGCTAATCTGCGTATCGATGGTTGCCCTGGCGCTCAGCCCGACAATCAACATGGCGTATCCGCTGGTTGCCATCGGCAGCATGGGAACGATGGGGTTCTTCTCGATAACGGGCGCGACGATGCAGAGCATCCTGCCCGATGGGATTCGCGGCAGGGTGTCGGGCATTTACATCATGACATTCGGGGCAATGCCGCTGGGCAATCTCACGGCAGGCCTAATCTCGGAGAACATGGGCGCACCTGTCGCAACGCTGGTAGCCTGCGGACTGGTCGTAGTCGCCGCCTCCGTGGTGATGACTCTGTTCCCCTCGATCAGGAGGCTTTAGAGTTAGTCGGTGTATCGGTTAGTCAGCCGGCGATGTACGAATACGCAAGTACATTGATTGGCTGACTAACTCATTGACTTCGCCTCCTGCCAGAGCGCTCCCTTTTCGTCCATGGACAGCGTGTCGAATGAAACGCCTTGCTCTCTGCTGAGCCGCTCCATGATGGATAGCGCTGGTAGAAGCGGCGGTTGGTGCCGCGCAGGAGCCTCGGCATCGATGTTCAGCCAGCGTGCGGCGTTGACACGGAGAAACAGCAGGTCGCCCAATTCCTTCTCGCGCTCATCATCAGTACTCGCCGCTGAATCTCGGCAAGTTCCTCGGTCACCTTGTCGAGCACGCCTTGGAAAGCTGTCCCAGTCGAAGCCGGCGCGTTCGGCGCGCGCTGCACTGCTTGGGCGATACGCCAGCGCAGGCATGTTTTTGGGGACACTTCCAGGATTGATCCGCCGCTTGCCGCCTTTTCCTGCCGCTTGACGGCGTCCCAGCGGCTATCGCCTCGTCGGCGCCCGACACCTGCTTGTCGCCGAAGACGTGGGGATGGCGGCGCAGAAGCTTTTCCACCAGAGTGCCAGCAATCCTCTCGCGTAGAACTCGCCATTGTCCTCGCCGAGCTTGAGCTGGAACATGACATGGAAGAGCACATCGCCAAGCTCTGCTACCATCTTGTCGGTATCAGCCTTCTCGACTGCCTCTATGAACTCGTAGCACTCCTCCAGGAACATGCCGGCTAGTGTCTCGCGCGTCTGTTCTTTGTCCCAGGGGCATCCTCGGGACCGAGCAGGCGCTCAAGAATCTGCTCGACGCCCGTGTATGTGCTTGGATATCCGGTGTCTGTCATATCGTTCTATCCATCCTGTCCTTGCTTGTTCGCTCTCGTTACCGAAACGCTATCAGATTGGCGGGCGGATGGTAGCATTGGGGTATGAGACGCATTGCAAGAATCATCGCCGCGGTGATATTCGTGGCGCTCGTGCCTTTGCTGCTGATTACCAGCAGCGTGAGGTTTGTCATCAACCTGCCGGCGCTGTACAGCTACGGCTTCGACAAGTACGGCATTGCCGAGTACACGCGGATCGAGCGCGCAGACCTGATTGCGGCGGGGGCGCAGATACGCGACTACTTCAACAACGACGAGGAAGACCTGATTATCCGTACCTACGTGGGGGGCGTGCTGGTCGAGTCGCTGTACAACGAGCGCGAGATACACCACATGCGCGATGTGAAGGCGCTGGTGCGCGGCGTCTATCTGGTGCAGATGCTCGTCTTGCTGTACATCGCTGTGTACATTGCCGTGGGTTCTGGCTGCGGCGCGGCGACTTCTGGCAGACGCTGGGGCGCGATGTGAGCGGCGGCGGCAAACTGACGCTGGCGCTGGTCGGCGTCGTGGGGCTGCTGGCTCTGGTGGGCTTCAACAGGCTGTTCCTGCTGTTCCACCTTATCAGCTTCAGCAACGACTTCTGGATGCTGGATCCGCGCCGCGACTACCTCATAGCGATGTTCCCGCAAGGGTTCTTCTTCGAGGCTACGATGCTGATTGCGTTCTGCACGATCGCGGCTGCGGCCGTGCTCGCCGTTGCGCCGCGCATCGTTCGCATAGTCGCCCCGTGGATTTATAACCCGATAAACACACCCCATGGCGACAGCGGCTAGCTAGGCACAGAGCCTATTCACACTTGAAGCCGTAGTCTGCGCTCCACCTTACCTTTGCCACGCGCACCTTGTAGCTCTGTAGTAGGTTTCGCGGCCTCGCTTCTGTATGACGAGGTGCTCTGCGAGCTCCTTGAACGCTCGTATCGTCTCATCGCTCTCCCAGTAGGAGACGGCGATGCTGAGGTCGTCATCGCCCGCCGCCTCGACGCCGAGGAAGCCCCGATGCTGCTTCGCAAGCTCCAGGATGGTCTCGTGTCGTCGTCATAGTACTTCGTGCGCTCCGGTGTGCGTCGATGAGAATATCGCCGCGTAGTACGGGGGCTGCGGTGTATTCGCCTGCGCCATTTATGTGTTCCTCCTGCGTCCTTACCTGCCCGTCAGAATGGTGACCACAGTGTCGAAGATTTCGTCGGCAATGTGAGCGCACTGCTCATCGCTAAGGTCCGCGATTGGATGGGGTGTGAAGATGACCGGGTAGCCGGATGCGCCCCACATCGCCGCCATCGAGTTCGAGGTCTCGATGAAGCTGTCGGTGCAGATTGTAACCGAGGGGATGCCTGCCTTCTCTACGTGAACTCCGTCGTGCACACTGCACGCGCTGCAGGACCCTCAATCGCCTACGCCGACAATCACATAGTCGCACTCCTTCGCCATCTCCGCGACCACGGCGGGGTCTGCGGGCTTGGATGCCGACGGCTTTGCGTGGTACTTGATGCTGGTGATGCCGAACCGCTGGTCAAGCAGGTCGGTGAGCTGCTCAAGGTACTCCTTGGCGTTGACCTTGCTGTCGTCAATGACGCCTACGCGCTTGTTGTTCAGGTCTGCCAAGCGAGGCGCGCCCTGGAACTCCGGCACCATCGGCAGCGTTGTGGGATCAACCAGCACATAGCGTTGTCTCGTCTCTACGACCATTTTATTCCTCCTGATTCACATGCGAAATCGTTCGTAAGGGAAGTCTGTAGATTAAACACTCATTGCACAGGCGCAGGCACCACCGGCGCCACCACCGCAGCAGCCTCCTGCTCCCGCGACGGCGCTGGTCTGACCGCTGCTGTCGGATGAGAAAGCGGCGAATACGGAGAAGACGCGGCGCGACTCGCTGCCGCAGTCGGGGCAGGATGCGGGGTCGTTCATCTGGCTCATGGAGCGGCGCTTGTCGAAGCGGTTGGAGCAGGTAACGCAGGTGTATTCGTAGATGGGCATGGGCAACCTCTCAGATTTGCGATATGTCGATAATTCGGTTCGTAGGTGAGTGAGTTACATGTCAGTTTCGGCTTGTAAGCGCAACTTCGCAGACGAACCGAAATGCTGAACAACTGATAGACTCTCTACGCCTCATTCTAGGGTTATCGTTGCGTCAGGTCAACCGAGCGGCGATAATGATTTGGCAGAATTGACGACGATTGAAACAAGTGAGGACTTCGCATGAGCACACCAGCCAATACGCAGGCGACATTGCCCGACGAGAGGGAAGGTTTCGAGAGTTTGGGGGGCGCTTCGTGCCGGAGACGCTGATGATCGCGATCGAGGAGCTTGAGACGCGAGTACGCGGCGGCGCAGACGATGAGGCGTTTCGGGGAGATGCGCTCGCTGTCGGAGCACATATGTCGGGCGGCCGACGCCGCTGTACCACGCGGAGAACCTGAGCGCGGAGCTTGGGGGGGCGCAGATATACATCAAGCGCGAGGACCCTGGCGCACACGGGCGCGCACAAGATAAACAACGCGCTGGGGCAGCGCTGCTTGCGAAGCGGATGGGCAAGAACCGCATCAATCGCGGAGACGGGTGCGGGGCAGCACGGGTCGCTACGGCGACGGTGTGCGCGATGCTCAAGCAGGAGTGCATCGTCTACATGGGCGAGGAGGACATCCGCAGGCAGCGCTGAATGTGTTCCGCATGCGGCTGCTGGGCGCGGAGGTGCGCTCGGTGTCGTCGGGAGCCGCACGCTCAAGGACGCCATCAACGAGTGCATCCGCGACTGGGTTACGAATGTGGAGGACACGCACTATCTGATAGGGAGCGTGGTGGGGCCGCATCCGTACCCGATGATGGTGCGGGACTTTCAGAAGGTGATAGGGATTGAGGCGCGGGCGCAACTGCTATCGAGGGTGGGCAGGCTGCCGGACTATGCGGTGCATGCGTGGGAGGCGGCAGCAACGCGATGGGGCTGTTCTATGAGTTCATCGGGGATGAGAGGTGAAAGCTGGTGGGCGTGGAGGCGGGTGGTGACGGCATTGAGACAGGACGGCATTCGTCAACGCTGACATCGGGCAGGGTGGGGGTGCTGCATGGCAGCATGTCTTACCTGCTTCAGGACTGAGAACGGGCAGGTGATGGAGGCGCACAGCATATCGGCGGGGCTGGACTATCCCGGCGTGGGGCCGGAGCATAGCTGGCTGAACGACGCGGGGCGCGCGGAGTATGTGAGCGTGACGGACACGGAGGCGCTGGAAGGCTTCGAGCTGATGTGCCGCGTGGAGGGCATCATTCCTGCGCTGGAACCGGCGCATGCGGCGTACTACATTTCGCAGCTCGCGCCTACGCTGTCGCCGGACAAGATTATCCTGATGGGGCTGAGCGGTCGCGGCGACAAGGATATGGACACGGTGGCGTCGGCGCTGGGTGTGAGCATATACTCGTCAGCACGTCAGCCAAGTGTCAGACCGGGTCTAAATTGATGCAGGGATGATAGGAGTTTTTCACACTCCTAGCCCTCCCCATCAGGGGAAGGGGGACTTATTATCATGGGCTGCGGATGGTGGGTTTTTGCGCTTGCGGCGAGGGGGTTGGGAGGGATGGGGGTGTTGTGGGTGCGCGGCTTTGGTGAGTGTGCTCGAGCGGGTCTGATTTGGCTCCTGACGTGGGCGTGCTGATATTCTGCGATCTCTCTTGCGTTAGCCGTGTTCGCGTCTGTCTTCTTGTCAACTTTGCTGTTGTTCGGGGCTAGCGGTTCGAAGTAGTAGTCATGGTTGGGTCGGGGTCGTTGGGGCCGTAGTCGTAGATGTTCTTTTCTGCTTTGTACGTCTATGCGGCGGTACTTTTGCCTCTGCGCGGAGGCTGGCCCGCTCGTCGCCCTCTGTCCATCGCTTCCTTGAACTCTTTGATGATGGCTTTGTCGTGTTCTTGACGGTGGGTGTCTTGTTCGGGAGCGGGCTTTGTGGACCTTCACCGCCCATCCTACGCTCGCTAGGCCTCTTCCCCCGTCGAGGGGGAAGGGTTTGTGAGATGCCCGCACTGCCCTCACCCCACCTCTCCCGAGGAGAGGGAGCTTTGTGGCAGGACTGGCGGCTTGGCAGGTCTTCTAGATTCCTGCTTCGGAGGAATGGCGAGAATGATGGGACGGTCTCTTGGAAACGAAGAGGCGTTTGAGTTGACGTCTCGGTCTCGTCTTCTTTCTCTCATCTCTTTGGGCTATGGCTTCGTAGTCTGTGTCGTCGTAGTTGTCGTAGTCGTCGATGGAGGTTGAGAGGCCGGCCCTGGGTCTTCTTCTGGCTATGGAGAGACGCGGGGATTCCTTGTCGTGCCAGTAGGCTGGAGGTGCTTAGGGCTTGATGTTGTCGTAGTTGGTGTCCAGCCACGGCGCAGTAGTTCCTGTGCTGCTGACATACGGACTGCGATGGTGGATGAAACTATTCTTCAGGGTGGGATCAGACATCACTTCCAATGAGGAAGCGGACGGTGTCAGTTGCCGCGCTCGCTGTACTCGGCATTCGCCTGGCGAGGTCTGTGTGCAAGGGTTTTGTCGAGGCGTTTGCTTCGTCGGTGATGTCTGACTGCCTGCGGCGCGAGCCGAGGTCTCCGAAGCCGCGACGCAGGAGTTCTCTGCGGCTGCCATGCGGTCTGCGGGCTTGATGCGGAACTTCTGGGGTGAAGGGTCTGTCCCTGCCGGCATTGTGTCAATGAGAAACTCTACGAGTGTGTGACCTCGGCGGTCTCGTGGCGGATGAGGTGGGCATCTGGTAGTTGATGATGTCGAGGTGGGGACACCGTCTTGCCCTTCGACAAGCTCAAGGCGAGCGGTCTTTTCTGGACGTGGGGGAGGGGATCTTCATTCCCTCCACCCTAACCCTAGTCCCTGGAGAGGGGGACTTGATTTGGCGATTACCATAAGTTCTTCGCACAGGCTTAGGGAAGAACGGTAGTGCGTTGTCGCACGTGCTGTCGGTGAAAGCGTACTTATGACAGTGCTTGGCGGCTTCGAGGCGCGGTGGTGAACTTGGCGTCTGTGTGACCGTCCCTGCATTGTTTCCGTGAGGACACCCGCGGGCGGACGTGTTCACCGTCTTTAGTGAAATGAAAACTGATGATGTTCTGTTGGAGCTTGGTTGTTGTGATGCACATTGGCGTATAGTCTTCAGTTATCAGTCCACAGTAGTCAGTTATGATTATTCGATGGGCGTGTAGTCGAAGTGATGTTCTTTCAACTGCCTGACGATCTAGGACGATGTTGGGTTGTCAAGGGGCATCTAAGGAAAATAGGTTGTGTGGCACAGTTTGCCACTTGGTCCGCGTGTCATTCCGAGTGAGGCGCGCGATTTGCGATCTGACGTCTGCGATGGCGTCAGTGCGGAGGTTAGATTCTTCACTCCGCTGCGCTGCGTCAGATGACAAGGGAATGGGACGCTGCCTTCAGACATGACCGACATAGGATGAGAGCCGTGTAAGAATGACAGGATGGACAGGCGCTCAGCCTAGATTAGACGAAAGAACTCTGCGCTCTGACCTCAGAATGACAGGAAAGGGTGGCTGATGCGTTCTGAGTGACAGGATAAAACTGATTCAGAGGACCAGAACGCGTCGTGAATCGAATGTCAACCAGAGCCTAAGGAAGGAGATTGGGATTGATACGAAAAGTTGGGAACAAAACACTGGTTCAATCGTTGCGCGCGTAGTAGAGTGAAGTGGAACATCTACTGTGTGATATGATGGTAATGTTGGAAGTGAATTTGATGGAGGCCACCGGATGATGAAAATGAGGGACACTGGTCTTTTCATATCGTTGCGGACTTGCTCGTCGTTCTGGTTACGCTGGTGGCGTGTGGGCGGCTGCGGCTCATGCGGCAACTGCACACGACGAAGATCTCGAGGTTACCGCTGCGAGGAGGCTCAATCTGCGACCACCCAAGCGCCTGCTGACGCTGCCGCTGCACGCTGCACCTGCACGTCAGCCTACGGCAGCACCTGGTGGCGGCGAGCGAAAAGATGTGGCGGTGGAAACGGTGGAAAAGGAAAGTTCTCGAGAGCGTGAGGTTGAGGGACATCAATAACGGACGAAAGTTCTCAGAGCGTCGGGTGAGTTCAGCGAGGACAGCGGGCGGCGCTTGGGCGCAGACCGTATCATCGTGCGGACTGTGAACCCTCGCCCTTGAAGTGACGATGATGGATTTGGCTGAGCGGATCCATCGAAGAGATTTCGCAGAGCGGTGCAGGGGATGGCGGCTGCCTGGGTGGACAGCACTGACCGCAGCTCGAAGCATTACGGCTACATAGCGGCGGTGCCATGCCGCGAAGCCTGGATGAAAGCGCTGAAGTGGATGCGAGGGTGATGGCGTGGATGTGCGTGTCGGAGGAGGCTTTCTTTCAACGAGCACCGATGTTACTGACGAATACTATGACCTGCGCTCGCGGTGACGAGTTTGCGAGGCACGAGGAAGAGGCGATCTAATCAGCTGCTGACAGGGCTGCAGATGTTGAGGATGCGCTAGAGGATGCAGCGGAGCTGCGCGGGTGCAGTGGAGGTTGAGGCTCATTTGGGGACGTATCAAGCTGCTGGAAGAGTGGACGAGACGGCTGCGTTTTCGCTGCGTGAACATTTCGCTGAATCTCGCGCCGCAGGATACAGGATATGCGCGTTGACGCGGGCGAGGATCATGACATTCAGCGTGACGTGAAAATGCGCGCGTTCAGGGCGACGTTTCTACCCGCCTGAAGGGATAGATGACTTGGACTTCGTATGCGGGACTTCGGAGACGGAACCCGGGAGGGTGATCGACAGGCAGGAACCGGAAGCGAGCCGAGGACTGGACGTACGCAGAGTGGCGAATACCGCGACCGCAGAAACACCAGGACAGCAGCGACGTGGAATCGCCGTTCATTGTCGCGAAGTGCCGCACGTGACCATGATCGGACTAGGCGAGGCGGGAATAGTCGAAGGATCGGACACATTTATCGCGACCGTTACGGAGCTGTCGGCAATCACCGTTTTCGCAGGTGAGCACCGGGTCGTCGAAGAGGGCGAGGAGGTGGAGTTCTCAGGGTCATTCACGAGACCGGAGGGGCTGAGGAACTACCAGTCGAGCAGCATTCAGTGATGGGAGCGAGGCTGTGACGGGGGCTCCAGAGGAAGGAGCAACCACGGTAACTGCCACGCACGACTATGAGAACCATCGTCCCCAGATCTTTCACGGTTACTCTGACTGTATCCGCTGATAGCGATGCCGGAAAAGTTGAGGGCAACGCTGAGATAGAGGTCTTTGTACAAGAATCGAAGGGTGTTTCGTGAGTCGGGGTGGGAGCGCGGTGACAACATGAAGGACGCTTTGCGGCGCTGATCGGGATTTGCCCCCCCCACAGGTTGCGGGGCCGGGCACAGTGGGAATCTGGGTGTTGTCTTCAGCCCGGTGTGCTTCGTTCTAGGCGTGCGGTCATATACGGATGTGATGCATTCAGACCGGACGCCTGATAGAAAGTCCCAGGGCGGCGAGCGGCCCATCCACGATTCAGGTGTGGAATGAAGGCTTCCTCTCCAGGGCTCAGGATGGAGATACGGAGGAACGAAGCTAACATGACGACGGTACGGCACTTCACGGCGACGGGGTTCGTGGTGCATAGGGACGCGACGCTGCTGCACTGGCACCGGAAGGTGAAGATGTGGCTACCGCCGGGTGGACATATCGAGGCAAATGAGGACCCGGTGCAGGCGGTGCTGCGGGAGGTCGAGGAGGGGAGACGGGCGTGAAGGTGGACGGTCTTGCACCACGGGAACGCCGATTTGAACTGGGTTCCCTGAGCAGCGTGCACGCGCCGTGTACGATAGAAATCGGAGGTGGATTATTGACGCCGCGGCAGGGGTTGGTGTTGGCACCAGGCAAATCGAATGTGATTACCTTCTGCCAGGCCTGATGGGTATCAGAACGGTGATCCGCTTGTTCAATGAAGGATGGGTGTGGTGTGCCAAGGACGAGCTGGAGAGCGGTGTTGTGGCGCTGGATCAGGGGATGGAGGCGCGCGGTTTGGGTGACGCCGCCTGGAGGACGTGCGGTGTTGCGGCGCATGCGTTCGAGGTTGTTCGGTGGGAGTTGACGGGGCTGGCCGGGTAAAATAGAAAGATAGATGAGCAGGGGCAACCGTACGTAAGTGGTTGCCCGCTGAGCATGATGCTCGTTATGCGCCCGTTGCGAAGCCGGCATTGATTCGAGGCCGGCGCGAACGCAGTCTTCGTCGCCTCTTGGGCGTGCCGCCGCTTGCCGCCTGCCGCCGCCGACGAGATTCGACGTACTTGTAGATGGGAGAGCGCGGCCAGACTGGGGATTGAAGCGTCCGCCCTGAAGCGGCCATGGAAGCCCGGGGGAATATCGGGCTCGGTCCAGCGGGCTGCCATGTCACGGCTGGCCGGGCCCCATGTGGATGACGCGGAGCTTGCCCTTCGATATGTAGGGTGTGAGCCAGATGCGCCGTC